AACAAAATCTCCCTTTCAATGGACAGTTCCAACAAATGTCACTAATTATCCTGTTAATCTAATTGATAAAGATCATAATTATCATACTTCAAATTTATATGAAAATTACATGATAATCTCATTTGGTAACTTATAATATTAATTTAAAACTCATACATAAATATATATATTATTTATTTATATTAATTTTATTTATATTTAATAATAATAATAGGTTGGATTCTTGGTACTAGTAATTATGGAAATATTTTATTATTAGATATTAGTGACAAATATAATTATAGATGGCTGGACACATTTTCTCAAATTACAACTTCAACTACAGCTTCAACTACAACTTCACCTACAACTCCAATTTCAACCAATGCTAATGCTTCAACAGTTATTATTAATGAAAGTGATAATAAATTTAAGCTATCTGTAATTATTGGATCAGTTATATCTGGAACATTCATTATTGCTTTTATTGCTACTCTTATTTTATATCAAAGAAAAAAGAAATCCAGTGAAATGGTTAATAATGTTAGTGATGATGGTGAAAAAGACAGAGAATTAAATCAACAAGTTCATAATGAATTTACTAGTAATATTGAAATTGTTTCAAACAATGATAATAACTACAAATATACCAATAGTGATAGTAATACTGAAGCTGTAGTAGATGTATACTAGTTATAAAAACATAGTATACTGAATAATAATAATAGTGATAATGATAATGATAATGATAAATAACATAATCCAAATATTCAGGATGACCAGTTAATTACAATTAATGACAACAATAATCAGACTTCTATATCCAATTCTAAAAGCTCTAAACAAATGCTCATAAAGTAATTTTCCCATCTGGCAGAAAAGTCAATAGAACAAATGATAATTAAATTATTAAATGTAAATTTATAAATTAGCAAAATACAACTTGTAATTTCTAATTCACAATTTGGTTTCCACATCAAATCATAGAATATGAATATTTAAAATCTTTTTTTTCAATTAATTTATCTTTTTTTACTAATATGTAAACTTTCAACACTAATTCTAAGATTTAAATGTAATTAAGAATCTTTCAATATATATAAGAAAATTTTGTCATTTTGTAATTAAAGATTAAAAATATGACTTTATTCAACATATTAGGAATTTTTTGTTTTTTTGTTTTGATAGTTGATCCTAAAAATTCTCAAGGAATCAATTCAAAATCATAAAACAGTTCTTTCATATACTTCTCTATCTTATCATGAAAATTAGTTGATGGAATCTTATCAATAGAATAATTTTCATTGAACTATATTTCAGGTTCAATGATTTAGGATGATCACTTGACTATACCAAGTACCTGGTGAAACTAGTTTCTCATTATAGACTATCACTCTCCCAAAGGGAAAGCATAAAATCATGGTCAAAACCATCAATTTTAAATTGTAAACAAGCACATTATACATACATAAGTTTTCCAACTTTCAATAATTTGAATGTTGATGGAATTGATGAATTTCCTGAATGTTTCATACTTTTTCTTAAAGAAAAATGCATATTTGCCTTATAATAATAAACAACATTTGTAACCAATATACATGAAGTCGAAACTATTTCAACCATTTGCAGATCTGGTCAAAATAGGGTTGAAACTGATTTTTACTATGTAGTTGCTTCAAGTCGAAACATTTCGATAGTAACCAATGCATTTTATTTCCTGTTTACCCTACCCCATGATTCTTATTAATGAACTATTCATGCCATATAATGAAAAATATGGGAATTCATAAAAAATAATTTTTTAAATTTTAAAAATGAAGAATTTAGGTTCTTACAATGGTTAAGAGTAGGTGTGACATGCACATGAAAAAAATGCAATATGCGTTGCATCATGCATTTTTTATCTCCCATTAACCCTAACCATTAATGAACTATCACTCATACCATGTAATGAAAAATATGGAATTTGCAAAAAATAATTTTTTAAAATGAAGAATTTATGTGAGGAAATTTTTAGGTTTTTACAAAGGTCAAGAGATATCTCCAAGTAACTTAAAATCGCAAGAACACAGTCCAGACACCATTTTGTGATTTAGCATTACCTGAATTTTTGTCAATAAATATAATCCAAAGAAAAATATGCTCAAGAGTTGAAGCTTCATATGGTATATACCTCGTAGAAATTTGTATGAGCTTAAGATTTTCCTAAAATTGCTGACTTAAAACCATTTCTGACAGTAAAACAAAGTTGAAATTGAAGTATAGCCCTCTCTTTCGGGGAAAGATAATAAGTTCACTTTGTTATTTTAGAAATGATGTCTTCATCTACAGTAACATCTAAAATTTTAAAATGAAAGTCACACAAGATGGTCATTATTACGAACCACTATTTCATCATTATAACGATAGGGTAATTAATGAATGTGGCAATTGAATAAATATAATTAACCTATTACTATGTCAAAAAAACAAATATATGTTTCCTAAACCACCAAAATTGGTTTATTTTTTTGTATTAATATATTAATATTGATTATAGAATTTGTAAATTCATTGATATGGGTTTAACATGATTCCTGGCAGATGTTTTCGTGACCCTGTTATACCAACAAGACATTTTCTAATGCATTATATTTCTTGTTTTTTTTCATAACCATATCATTATCCATTATCAGTTAATATTAAGAAATGATATTAATATACCTGGTAATGTTAGCCGATTAGCCGGCCAATCTGTTTAAGCCTGTTAAGTCATTTATTAGCCGGCTAAGCTGTTTAAGTTGTCCCGTTGGTATGACGGTGACAGGGAGACATTTGTTGGGGAATCGGCACAACCTGTTGACATTAGCAAGAAAATGAATGTATGCTTTTTCACATATTCCATATGAATAATTTTTATTTTAAGCTTACAATTTTTTTGAATAGCCAATTATTTATTCAATTAAACGTAAAAATTAAATTTAAAGACTTTGAATCATGATGTTATATGAAAAGAAAAAAAGACAGCAATCTAAATTTTGTTCAAGAGAACACATCCTGCTATATTGATTATTTTATAATGCTCTTCCAAGTCCTTATTTTTGAAATTAAAAATAAAATTAAAGAATAGCCAATAAATTGTTGTTACGGAACTATAAAAAACATTATTTGTTGTTACAAATAATTAAAAAAAATTTTCAATGTTTCAATTTTTCATTTTTATATTCTCCAGTTCTCTGCTTTAAATTTACTTTGTCTGAAATTTTGAGCCTATTCTAGTTTGTTTGCAAATTGTATAGTCACTGCATAATACTGGCCAAAGTTACGGATGCAGAGGGACCCGACAAGAGTTAAGTTAAAGAACATATCTGCAAGGTTTCAATAATTGAACTACATCACGAAGCAAGATTTTAAATTAAAGCTGCGTAAAATAAATTAGTAATTAAAAAAAATGCCACCTCTCTCTAAAAGATAAACAGAGAGAGTAAAAAAGTATTTATAAAAAAAAAAATGTATACTAATAATAAAGTTGATGGAGAGATGGGTTTAGAGCGGAAAGCAAAAGAAACAGCTCCTTTAACAACAATTAGAAGATTTCAATGAGGTGTCGATATCTAGATATCTTTATAGAAATATTGGCAATATGTAAGGCTCCAAACGATTCAATTCGAATCAACTGTATTTCTAAATTTTTTTTTATTGCCATATTAAATTTATATTTAAATTTAAATACATATTTCTTCAATTTAGTGTACCTCGATCAACGAATACTAATGGATTGAGGTTTAATAATAATAAACTAAAGCTGTAATAATAGTTTTTCTCAATATAACGGATTTCTTGATATAGTTAATGTTAAACCTTGTTACAATTGTGGCAAGATTACTAATACTAACACTAATACTAATCTTATCACAACGGATTTTAAATAAAATTTTAAAAATCTATTATGACAATAATTTAATTATAGTCCGCTGTGGCGAGGTCCGCCGTGACAAGGTTTGTCTGTATTAATTTATAATAATAAACCAAGATTGTAAATTTAAAATTTTTTAATTGAAAAAAATATAGTTTCACCCAATACTATTATTTTTTATAATATCTAAATCAATCTACTTTATTTGCTATTAAAATTAGTTTCGTCTAAGTTTAAGTCAATTAATTTCGGCAATAATGACAATTCACTAATACTAATTGACAATGATTCGATTCGATTCCATTAAATGTTTCCAAATTACTGCCGTATCAATAACATTACCAATGATTGTTTTTCTGCCAATATTACTTTTATATAATCACTATTATCTCCCATCTTTTATTATAAAAATTTTATGATAATAATAATTTACATCGGTTGGTAAGATTCATTGTTTTGTAGTAATGTTATAATTACTATTACATAACTAGAACTGAAAAAGGAGCCATTGTAACTAACTTTGTATTAGATATATTTATTTTATTTATATACTATATAAATTTCTGTTAACAATAATTAACATTACTATTACAACTTTAATTTTAATTTACATTTTTATTATTATTATTATTATCCATTTCAGAAAAAATATCTGAAATTTTCGCAAATAATTTTGCGCTGTTCTGTATTTGGTTTAATAATTCATCATTATTTTTATTTAATTTCTTTTCTAGTTTATTTTCTAGGTCTTTAAACTCATTTTTAAACTCATTTAATCCATTTTTGAGTTCATTTTTGAGTTCATCTTTAATTTCATCTTTAATTTCATTTCTGATATCATTCAATTCATTTTTAAAATTTTTTTTAATTTCTTCAAATTTTGATTCAACGCCCATATCCATTGCTGGCTCGGGTATTTGTATATATTCTTGAAGTCCATCAAATATAATCGGTAAAGAATCAGGATATTTGTCATTTGCAAGTCGATCTTTCAAACTTGGAATAATTTCATTTTCAATACGAAAAACACATTCGTTATAAGCATTCTCAGCATGCATCAAAATCTCTGTACCCGTAAGTGAAACATCCAACACATTAATATCTTTGACATTTTCGTAAGCCAATCTAATTTCTTCCAAAGCATCGATATCATTATCTTTTTCACTTTCAACAACAATTTTTTTTAGAACTATTTTTGGTTGAGTCATAAGCTTTAGAACGGTTTGATGTAGTTGTTCATGATTCTTTCTAAAAGTTCTTACAAAGTTGATACGTTCTTGTAATTTGTCATGAGCAGGAATGACTTTTATTGGTATGAATTTCTCGCTTCTTTTCCTGGTCACATCACGAGCCACATTAGTGAATTCTTTAATACACTCGTCCCACGCCTTGAACACATCTTCAGCACAAGATATCACTTTCTCGAACTCTTCATAACCCATATACATCAATCGTCTATTACCCAGCACTTTAAGTAATTGTTCATTTAAATCACGTGAAATAGCTTCAGCAAGCGGTAAAGCTTTCTTGATCGGATATGGACTGGTTATTATAGATTAAAAGTTTGTATATATTGATATTACAATTCTAATTATTGTAATCATAATTAATTACTTACGATAATTTCAACTTTCTACTGAAATGACCAAAAATTAATATTATTGCTTCTTTTATTTCGTTAATACCAGGCGCAGATAATAATTCATTAAGCGGAAAATCTTTCATAAGTATATTGTACCTCCGGGCTAACATAATAATAATAATGTATATATTAATTAAATAAAAAGAGAAATATCTCGGAAACGATTATAATAATAACCTGTTTCAGTGGCTTCTTTCAAGCCAGTATCGGCCATAAAAGATACAGTTGCATGAAATCTTTTTCCGGATCTTAAAATATCCAAAGTCAATACTGTATAATTACATTTAATCAATTAATTAATTTGATATTCTTTCTATATCATCACGCAATATTTTAATTATCATACCAATTTGATCATTTTCCAAATTGTTATTGATACCATCCAAAGCAGCTTCCATACTTAACCAAAAGTTAATTTCTTGTGCAGCAGTTTCACTAGAGTGATCGCGTGTTAGCTTAGTGACTTTCTGAATTTCTTTTACCCAATCATTTACACCCGCTTGAAGTTCATTTAGGAAAGTAGATTCGTTTAAAAGCTGTGGGTCAATTGCATTAACAGTGATTCTTGTTCCTTCTTGTTTACACTTAAAAAAAAACAAAATTGTAATCATCTATCTTCAATATTAAATATCAGTATGTAATAATTTAAATCGTAATTTGAATTGAAAATTTACCTTCTCGACAATTTTTTGAACTATAGGATGAATATTTAACAAAGCTTTAGGTATTGCGACCTTTTCTTGCAAATGAAGTAAACACAATTCCAATTCGGCAATCTTCTTTTTAGTCATTGGAATTCCCATTTTAGAATCATCATATTTCTTGCCAATAGTGCTAGTATCTTTTGCATTATTAACATATGCATCGAAATAAGGAGCAATGGCTAAATGGATATATGAATGAATTGCATCATATGGATTTACAGCAACTGATCCAGATTCACTTGGAGCAGGACCAGGCAAACTTAAAATTTGTACTTGAGTTTGAATTGGCATTATGGGATCCAAATTTGGAATATATTTTATTATTACAACGGAAGCGACGTGATTCGAATAATAAGCAAGATTTTGAGATAAAGTATAAGAATAAGATATGGCTTGATCATCTACAAAATTATTATTATTATAATTATTATTATTATTAAAAATTGTTACAATAATCGGGAAATCCGTAAACGGACAACATTTCAAAATAAAAATATCAAATAAATAAATTACTTTGATCTTTATTTTCAATTTTTTCTTTTGTAATGTATATAGCATTAACTTCAGGATCGTTTGCAAATTTCCCAAGCTTTTCAAGAGTTTCAGGCAAATTCCATAAAGTATTTTTTAAATCATTTTCTTCAGCTCTTAGAAGTAAAGATAAAAGTTTGCTAAGATAATCTTGTAGTAGTGCAGGCTCGAAAATTGGTGGAACCGGTGCGGTGCCGTTTGAATTTTGTTTATTGATAGTAATAGTCATTCTGTTAAAATTTTAATTTATGTTTTTTATAATTTAGTTAAATAAAATAATCCATTTTAATAAAAAATAATAATAATCATTTTTTATACCAAAAAAATGGGGCCCATTGATCTATATACATTGCCATAAATATCCACATGATGATCACTTTAATAATTGGAAATGTTACGCCTTATAAACAGGACCCCGAACAATCTTAGTAGATGGTACATTTCAATTTTGGGTAGAATCGATTCAAATTTCATTGATCTGTTCGGAGTCTTAGTAATAATAATAATTTAATGGGTTAAAAAGTCTCACTACATTAATAAATGAATATATTTAATATTGTATTTAATACAAATCAGTGAGCCAAATCTGAAGTACAAGAATATATAACAATGTTGTTTTAACAATTTACAATATATAAATTCAATCAATTATATATATTTATTAACATAAAAAGAATTAGAATGATCAAATCCTAGAACCATGTGCACAACTTCATTAATTGATGAGATTGGAATAAATTGAAAATTATTAAGAAAGGACAACCATGTTTATAAAGCTTCTCTGCATTGTTTGCATCATATCATTAAATTAATATCTGTAAGAATGACCTTATAATTAATTACCAATATATTTCATTTGAAATGTATTCATCATTTTTACTTTCTACCATTTCAATAGCAACATTTGAAAATTCTAATTTGTCATGACAATAATTATCACTATGTGCAATTATACTATCTAGAAGATGTAATTTCTTTAAATAGTGATAAATTATTTACATCAATTCCTATTTCTTGAAATGGATTAATGAAATTTGGATTTTCCAGTCCAGCCTTGAATTGCATTGATAAATTTGATGCTTGTTTATTTTCTTCTACAAAAATGTCAAGTTCAGATAAAAACAATTAATGAATTTGAGAACCAAATTTAAATTGATTATTTGTGCTATTGTATCAAGAATATATTTTCTACATATCTATAAAAAAATAAAAAATAGTAAAATTTATTAACTACAATAGCAAACATTTGGGGATCAAAATTCCATTTGTTTGTTCTTTTATGAACATATGACTTATAGAGTGCTTCATATGTTTCAGTAGCCATACCATTGAGAGATCAAATTGTCTAATTGTTTCATTGATGTGAAAAAGCCAAGAATGCAGTTTAGATAATTGAAGATTAGAGTGAAATAATTCTATAAATAACTTGGTTTATCTCTTTCTAAAAACCTATAAATTAATGGTTATCAAATACAAGAAATTAATACTAGATGATTTTTTTACTTTAAATTCAGCCAAGGAACTTTCTGTTGGTTCTTCTTCACAACTTTTCATATACATCTCATTCCATAAAACAAATAATTCAATTATTTTATGATCATTCACCGAATTTGCATCTTTTAGCACACCACCCATCACAAAAACGACACCTTTATCAAATTACAAAATTCATTTGTTGTCATTTGTTTTATAGTATCAACTCCATTGCGAACCTTTGATTTGTGGAATTTGTGCAAAACATTGATTCATTTTATCAACAGCCAAGAAAATACGAAAAAAGAAATGTATCACTTCAATTTTAAAACCCTTCAGACGTTTTTGAGAAAACTAATTAGCTTTGTAGAGCTTATCTCAATAAACAAAGTTACTGTGAGATTTATTAAATCATGCATTGATCATCTGATTTTAATAAAATATTTTTTATTCATGAATAAATGAATATAATTACTAGGCATGAGCATAGACTCACTTCTTGTAGTTGTCAACGTTAATATTATCATTCTAACGAAAGTTTTTAATTGAATAGAAAATTGCAACAGTGATTACAAATGAGTAGCAGTTATTTAGAAACATGGAATTCAATTAAAGAGCATGATTATAAAATTGTTTATAGCAAGTGTTTATACAGAAGGTAGGTGAGTAAGTGTATAATAATAAAAAGTAACAAGGAAGGCCTAGAATTTTTTCATTTTCATAGTAATAGTAATAATAATTTCAGTTTCGGAATACAACTACAAATCCAAAATACAGAGGGTGATCACGGGTTTCCGAACGATAAGTATTTTTTATTTTTTTTACTTTGTTTACATCATTTACGCGTA